CTAAAAATCTTTAATTTTACTATATATTACTAAGTAAAATTTATAAAATCTGGTAATTTATTGTAGTTTAGTGTATATTTTTTAACATCTCCAATTCTTATATCATTAGGAAGTATAAAAATGCATATCACTATGTATAGTAAATACACAACTATGTGATATAAATTAATATTAAAGCAAACACATTATTCTATAAAATTTAGTTCATAAATTGCTTGATTATAGTATACAATTTTAACTTATAGTTTTTAAGATTTGTATATTATATTAATTATTTTATTATTTCAGAATTTAAGACTTTAAATAATATGATTTCTTTTTCATTATTTTTAATAAACCATTTACTAAATATTAACTTTATTTTACTTTACTAAAAACATGTAAACTAAACTGCAAAATCATTTTATTGCAACAATTTACAAATTATTTAACTAGTAAAATATTAGAACTTTAAATGGTAAATAAAAATATATTTATATTTCCTTTTGTATTCAGTATAATATATAATGCATATATAATACTATTTTTTTATCATAAGAGTTAGATGATGTTTAATATTATTATTTATAGATATCAAAGAATTTGAAATTTTTGATAAAGAAAATTTTACAATTTTAAGTAGAATTGCTTATGATCTAATTTAATATAATAATAAGTTAGAAATTCTATATATTAATTAATTATTAGATTGTGTTTGATTATTCTATCACCTTAGTCTTTATTCTATTATTTCTCAATATTGAATTACATGTCTATCAAAAGATATTAATATTTCTAATTAGCCACTTAAATGGTTAAAGATAACGGTACAATAATTCATTTATCATTTAGTAGAACTTTATTTTTAATTTGTCTTAAAATTATTAAAAGTTTAATTCTAAATAATAATAATTATGTATCAATTATTATCTATTTATTAATACTATAAATGTGTATAGAATAAATGAAACTGAATCCTTTTTCATATTTTCTAACTTTTCAAGTTCTCATACGAATTTATTATATAAATTTTCTTGATTCATATTTAATGTTAAAGTTAAAATAAGGAATTATTATATCTGTTTCTTTTCTGTACTATATTAATATTATAAATATATATAGAATAATAAAACTGAATCCTTTTTCATATTTCCTAACTTTTCAAGTTCTCGTATGAATTTATTTATAAATTTTTTTGATTCATGTTTAATGTTAAGATTAAAGTGAGAAATTATTATATCTGTTTCTTTTTACACTATATTAATATTATAAATATGTATAGAATAAATAAAACTGAATTCTTTTTTATGTTTTTTAACTTTTAAGTTCTCGTATGAATTTATTATATAAATTTTCTTGATTCATGTTTAATGTTAAAGTTAAAGTAAGAAATTATTATATCTGTTTCTTTTTTGTACTATATTAATACTATAAATGTATATAGAATAATAAAACTGAATTCTTTTTCACGTTTTCTAACTTTTCAAATTCTTGTATGAATTTATTGTATAAATTGTCTTGATTCATATTTAATGTTAAGATTAAGTGAGAAATTATTACTATAAATGTATATAGAATAATAAAACTGAATTCTTTTTCACGTTTCCTAACTTTTCAAGTTCTTATACGAATTTATTGTATAAATTGTCTTGATTCATGTTTAATATTAAGATTAAAGTGAGAAATTATTATATCTGTTTCTTTTCTGCACTATATTAATATTATAAATTTATATAGAATAAATAAAACTGAATTCTTTTTTACATTTCCTAACTTTTCAAATTCTTATATGAATTTATTGTATAAATTGTCTTGATTCATGTTTAATATTAAGATTAAAGTGAGAAATTATATTTGTTTTCTGCACTATATTAATATTATAAATGTGTATAGAATAAATAAAACTGAATTCTTTTTTATGTTTCCTAGCTTTTCAAGTTCTTATACAAATTTATTGTATAAATTGTCTTGATTCATGTTTAATATTAAAATTAAAGTGAGAAATTATATCTGTTTCTTTTCTGCACTATATTAATACTATAAATGTGTATAGAATAAATAAAACTGAATTCTTTTTCACGTTTCCTAACTTTTCAAGTTCTCGTACGAATTTATTGTATAAATTTCTTGATTCATATTTAATGTTAAAGTTAAAGTGAAAAATTATTATATATGTTTCTTTACAGCACTATATTCTTATTATCTTGAAAGGATGTTATAATTGCTGAAAGAGTATGTAGAATGGTCAATTGTCTGTTATCTATAGGGAAAATATTCTTTGTGTGATATTAGTGGAATTTGTTATAACTAGTAAATTGCTAAACTTAATATTAGAGGATTTTACAAAGATAAAAATTTCATGAAGAAATATATGAAACAATATAGGTATAGATTAAATCAGATAATTAGCGCACTTAGGTAAATGTTAAGAAGAAGGATTGGTTCAATAAAATTCTGCATTACTGCACTTTTGCCTCATAAAATTGTCTAATAGTAAATTTAATAAGACTAAAATAAGATATGAACTGTATATAAATTAATAATACATAAACAATACATGAAAAAATTATCAACATTGAATAATAAATTATAAGGTTTAATATCGACCTTATATGCTCTTTGAAGGAGCAATTAGGATTTTATTAAAGAAGATAAATATAAATCATTATAATTATGTACTTCGAAATAAATTTTTTTTTAGGGATTTTTTTAAATATCGGTTAAAATAAATTATTTTATTTGATTATTTGTCCAGTGATTTATGTCTGATGAGGTAGGAGGCATTATTATAAAACAAATAACTTATTTTGCAGAAGAGTTAATAAAAGAATTTTTGTTATAAAAATTTCATGTAAAAAGTTTTGTTTTTAGAAAAATGTTGAAAGGTTAAAGGAAAACTTTCATGTAATATCTAAACCCAAAAGCCTCATTTTGTTATATGGGCGAAGTATCACAATCCGAAATTGGATATTACAGCCTCAAATTTGTTTATTGTTGCATGTAGCGCAGCAACAATTATGTTAAAATCGTTTTTGTGACACCCGGTACCAGGTCAGGTAAACTTCCTGTTAAAATTTGTATTTCAGATTATCATTAACTTATCTGTACTTTTCGCATGATTTGCATGCGGGCGTAATTCAGCCTAATTTTTTTTTTCATTCACCATCTTCATATCCCTTTATACACAAATTCCTTTTGTAGTCAAAACTAAAATCAATGTTATCAAACATAATGTTAATCAATGCAAGGTGGGCAAGCGATTTTGGGAACAAGAACAACAGTTCTTTGGTAATAGTTACGTCATGATTAATTAAGGCGCAGTTTCTGTCACGGGCGATCAAGTAGAATGTTATGGCGTGTAACATTAGCGATATTAGTATGAAATTCCTTAATGAATTGACTAAAAAAATTCTTAAAACCGAACCGCAAAGTTTCTTGACTAATAAATTCACACATTTTTTTCCTTTTTCCTTTTTATTAAAATGACTTATAATTTGTCTTTAAATGAAATCTTTGAATATTTAAATGAAGATTTGGTTGCTTGCTTACTAGTAATGAGAGACTTTGGTGCGAAATTTCTGTTCGAATTTTGTGAAGAATTCAAAAATTCGAAACTTTACTTGCATGTCTTCCGAATGAATCCAGAGCTACGTTAATTGAGAATGGTGTCATTAGCAGTTTTAAGTATATATCAAATCAACAGAAATATCTATGTGTATTTGAGGGGGGAAAGACTTAAAAGCATATTTACAAACACTTCAACTAGAGGATATATATTATTTGAAGGCAATGAAAGCAACATTCAATTGGAAACAAAAAGAATGGAAGGAACAATTATTTTTATTACCAATTCTGGAGTAAGTACATATAATTTAAAATCTAAATAAATTATGTGTACATATTAAAATTATTTTATTATAGTCAGGAAATCTTACGCCACCCCTTCGATGTGAACCATTCTCTAGCAATAATACCTGTAATTCCTATGATACATCAACTTTCCGTTCTATTCTTTCTCAATCAAATAATAAACTTCCTTAAGTAATAAATCAATTACTAAACCACATTATAGATCCCGACGGTTCAAATACTAATGCCATTCGACCACTCATTAATCATAATAATGGATGTCTGATTTAGAATTTTTTTTTTTATGATAACTACGCAATGCGGCTACACAATAAAAACAATAACTTTAAGCGAAGCAAAGATAGTAATATTTAAATGCATTTTTTTTTATCAATAACCATAGAACAGTCACTGGATATCAGAACAATTATCCTAGAATAATAAAATAAAAATTTTAAAAAGAAACAAGTAAATATCTTCATTATGAAGTGTAGGAATATTGTCATTTCATCACGGCGCAATTTGACCGAAGTAATATTGTAGTTAATAATTTTTAATCATTTGTTTTTTGCATTAAAATTTTAATTACTTTACAAAAAGATTAATATAACGAAAAATATCATCTTTAATAAAACAAATCTATATATCTAATATTACAAAAATGCATTAGTTATTATTAGTCATACGCCTGGTATCTGGATTATTTGTTGCCTTATAGGAAAAAAAAATGATTACTTTTAACCTTACCAAGAATTTATTGGGAAAATACATTTCTATGCATTCATTAACTTGGCTACTCATTTTTCAGTATTGATAATACATTTTGCGCAAGCATTAGATCCATCTCTAACTTCGATAGTTCAAACTCTAATTAAGGAAGTTCATTAAGATCTAAGATTTTCATTAAATTCATTCCACTGCACTTCAAAGTGGCTATGGTCTTTCTTGCAAATTTTGCTATTTTCTCGGAAGTTATGTCGGCAAAAAGTTCTGACCTTTCAACTCTTAACCTCTGCCACTTGTAATGCCAAATTCGTCAATCAATTCACACTTAAAGTCACTACGCGCCATCGAGTTTCACCAATTGCGACCCTACTCGCTTATAGAATCTGGGCAACTATAGTGTTTTGTAAAACACTATAGAATGTTGGGATAAACATGTCATCTTTCGGCCTAATAAGATCAAAAAGACGGGAAACATTTTCGGATGTTTGCGCATGTCCATGATAGGTAGTTTATTCCAAAGAATGATCGTGGTGCAACCTAAATTGTTTCTTTCAAGATATTCTATTCAAGTTTTTTTTTCACTTCAACAGAATCACCTACGATGTCGTTCAATGCAGGAAAAGAAGTTGAAATTGTAACATTGTATTTATCATCAATGACACCAAGTTTACCCAAACGATCCTAATTAAAAATTATAATAAATAATATTATTAGCAAAACAAATTATAGAACGCTCCGCTCTGACGAACTCACATATAATCCTTTTATACGACCTTTATCTTTGAACATTATCAAGCTGCTAATAACTTGTTCTCTATACTGATAATAATTAAAAATTCTTTTCTCCTAATCTTTTCTTTGTCGAGAATCGGCAAGACTAGACTTGAAAAGTTCTTGCTAAGGTAATGCTAAGAGTAAAGATATTTGTAAAAATACTTAATATATTTATTTAAATTGTAAATAATAACCTTTAAATCATATCTAATGTTGAATTTCTAGTTTCATATCTTTGATTTGATTCTTTTTAGATGAGATTTCTTGTTTCTAAAGAAACAATTCAATTATAATTAAATCATTACAAAAAGCAATTAACAATACCTTTTTCTGATATGACATGATTCTCTAAGCATGATAGCATCATCTTGTTTTATTGAATCAAATTTTTCTTTTAAAATGTTATACTCAATTTGATTGACATCAATAAGTGATTGCTTTGCATTGATTTTCTCTAACCAAGGATACAAGTTCTACTCAATTGGTTAAATAAACTAGAGGTTGGAACCGGCCGAAAATTCTTTAACCGGTTAATAACCGGTTAAAATTAACTTTGGCCAGTACTATAAATTTGGCCAGGGATAGACAATAATTTGCAATCATAAAAATCTTAATTCTGGCTGGAAATTGAATTTTGGCCGGATTTAAATTCATCTATTTTAACCGGTTAAAAAAAATCTTTAACCGGTTAACATATTAACCGTTTTAACCGGTTAATTAACTGGTTAAAAATTAAACGGTTCCAACCTCTAAAATAAACTTTTGATTTGTGATTAAATCCATTTAATATATAAAAAAAATATTTATAAAATTAGAATAAAATAATCAGTTCATATTCCCTTTAAGCTTTTTCTGATTTTTTCAAGTTCACTTTCTCGACCTTTAAAGATCTTTTCACTATCTTAATTGATATTTCAGTATTAATCTTATACTCTAGCAAATTTTTTTAACACCTTTCAATTTAATAAGATTTGAATTATAATTGTTATTTAATCCTTTTCAACTATTTTAACATAATTTAAACTTCTGATCATTTTTCATCTAATGTTTCAACCTTTTCTTTTATATTGATTGTATAAGAGTTTATCTTTATACTCATTTGGTATTTTGGAATTCATCTTTAATATGACTAGTTATTTTACAAATATATAATCATCATACATGTAGATAATACATAAACTATATAATCAAATTATGTAAAAATATTATGTAATAAATTATATGTATATATTTTTATAAACTTGAGTATAAGTCTTTGGATAAACTTTTATTATCATTAACTTTTCTTATTATATTTTTTGTTTTATCAATTTATTTATATACAGTCAGCTTGATATAATGAAATTACTGATCTAGCTGATTGAGCCTTTATTATAAGAATCTTTATTAATGCTATAATGAATTATTCAGTATATATAACGAATAATTTATTATGATAGATAATAACTATGATTTCTGATTTTATTATACAAATATAATTTTACTATAATATAATTTTTCCAGAAATATTTTTATGTTATTTGTAAATTCTAGTCATTTTATTTAATATGCAATTTTTTAATCATTGTATAACAGTTTTATTAATTTACTTAAATTTTTTTTAAAAAAAATTTTAATTTGTTATTTTTTTAAAATAAAATAAAAATAAAATAAAAGAAAATGAAATAAGATGAAAAAATGAAATTAAGAAACTAAAACGAAATTATAAAATAAAATTAAGTGAATGAAATAAAATGAAAAAATAAAATTAAATAAATAAAATGAAAAAATGAAATTAAACAAATGATATAAAAGAAAAAATTAAATTAAACGAACGAAATAAAAAAAATGAAATTTTTAATGCCTTGCTGATCTTGCAGGTATATTGTGATTTTATTATGTATTTAGTTTTGTCTTACAGGTATATTATGATTTTGCCTTATATTTCAGATTTATTTTGTAATAAGCAAATTACAATTTCTCTTTTAGGTGTGCCTCAATTCTAAAAATGTAAATATATTTAATATAAATCTAAAAAATCATTTAAACATTTTTAATTATTATTTGACCTATCCTAAAATCAAGTCTGAAGAGGTTGTATAATCTTTCTGCAGTATAAGCTCACCTCTTATCTTTTCTCACTCTATTTCAATAATTGTAAAATTTTTAAAAGATATTAATTATACTGAAATTATATTTATCATTTTATTGTTATTTATTTATTTACTTATATTATAATTATATACTAAATTTCTCTATTTAAACTCATATTGGTGAATTTAATATATCATATCATATCTTTGATTTATATGTTAAATTACATTTCTCTAGAATCCCATTTTATTTTTTCTATCTTTAATATAGTATTTTTCATTTCTACTCCTTCTTTCATTGACTAATAAATCAATTTCGTTATCTTTCTAAATTATTCTTGTGATCATTTTGCATTTAATTTAAAAAGATTTAAAAAAAATAAATTAAAGAGATTTAAAGGTAAATTTAAATTTTAGAAGGTAAAAAATTATATGATGGTAAAATACTTTCCTTTATAAATAAATTTATCTATTTGATTTAATTTTCTGAACAATAAAATCAGATTTTTAAAGATTGATTAGTTATTTTTAGTGATTTTATTTAACTCTTATCAGTTTTTAATGAACTTATGTACTTACAAATTTCTTGATACAATTAGTTATTAAATGATGACAATATAATCTATAGACAGTTTTAAAAAATATATAAGCTTGACATTATTAATAATTAATATAATTTTAAAATAATATTAATGAGAATATAAGATAGTAAATCTATGTTAGATGATTGAATCTTTATAATGAGATTTATTAATATATTAACTGAAGAGTTTTTAAATATTACATACATTTTTTCTAATATTTCTAAGTTTAAACTTTTTAAGCTCAAATTATTAGATTACCTTATTGCTAGAATTAATGTTATTCATATAGGTGATAATAAAACATACAAAACTAATTCAGATTTAGTAAAAGATCTTGAGGCTTAATTATTGTTAACAAGAAATACAATAGTCATGCTTAAAATTAACTTATAAATAAAAGTTAGTTTAATTAATAATTTAGTAGATACTGCTTAAGAAATTATATTTAATGAAAAATAATTACCTCCTTTACTTCTTATTACTGTTCAGATAGAATTTAATAATTATAGCCTAATCATTATTATAAAAAGTAAAGGTTGATTTCAGTTTTACCAATTAAATACAGTTTAGAAAAAAAAGTAACTTATTTACGTTTATAAGTATCTATTTATTTTATGAGATATTACACAAATTAATATAGTATGATTAGTAATATATATATTATATAGTTTTTTTTTTAAATATATATATGGTATATATGCTTTAAAAACTATACAAATATAGTTTTTTTTATAACAAGTAATTTATACTTACAGTCAACTCTTGTTATAATAAACTTTATGCCTAGATTTCAACTTTGCTATAAGGCTATAGTAAAGATTTTAAGAGATTTGATTGGCTAATTCACCATAACAAGAGTATTTTTATTATATTTATTCAAAAAATTCGTTATATTAAGAGTTTGCTATATCAAGAGTTGATTGTATTTGATTTCTAATACTGTATATATATAAAAAATATATACAATATGTACATTGCTAACTATATTATACAAGTTTACTATATACCTTATTTTATATAATTTATTATAGTATATAAAAGTAAGTGATTCACTTTACAAAAAGACGTAATAAATTTAAAAAAAAAATATGTAGCTAAACTTTCATTTTTAGTGATTTTATAGATTTGTACTTTTTAAAATATTCTTTTTAGAATATTCCTATTTAAAAGATTCTAGTACAAAAAAGATTAGCTTAAGAAAAAGATTAATCTCTATAATTTCTTAAATTGTTAACATATAATACTCTATTCAATAAAATTTTTTTTATTAAAATTTATAATGTAACATAATTTAAAATTAATCAAAAGCAATATATTTTTAATAATATATTTATTAGTTAAGTTTTTTAGTATATTTTTAAAATCATATTATCTATAATATTTTGAATATTCTAATAATTATTACTTAATAATAAAATTAAAAAAAGATAAAAAATTTATTTATTTATTTTTTTTAAAAATGCTTATAAACCTCATTTTTTTATTTTTATTTTAATTAATTTATATTAAAAAAATACTATAAAAAAGATAAGAAAGAAGAAATTTAAATAATAATGATTTTTTAAATTTTTTAATTTTTTATATATTAAATTGCTTAATTAAAGAATTATAAAATATAAATTTTATCTATAATTTTTGCATTTATTAAAAAATTATAAAATATATTTTTTATTCATATTTATTGTAAATGTTTTCCTATTTTTTTTATATTAAGTTTAAGTTTTTACTTAAGAAAAAAACATATATATTATATTGAAATTTCATAAAAATTATATATTATAAAACTTAATATTTTTCTTTTATAAATTTTTTATTAAATTGTTAATCTACTAAGAATAATTATAATATTTATTTATTATTTATTAAATCTATTTTTTACTAAATTTACAAAATATCTAAGAAAAGAATCTAAAATTAATAAAGATCTTGAATTATTTAATAAATTTCTTTTAATTTACATATTCTTAATTATTAAAGCATTTTTATTCATTATACCTTTCTTATTTATATAAATAAAAATTTCTTCGGAAAATGATTCTCTTAGAATATTTTTAAGTTTAAAAATACAAATAGTTGGTAATTTTGAATTATTAATTATGCATACTAAAATAATTATAAAGTTTGTTTTTTCATGATTTATTATTTGTATATTAACAGTTGAAGTTCTACATTGATTCAAAATAATTAAATAGAATAAATCAAAAGTAACAGGAGTTTCAACTATATTACTAATGTATTTTAATAGATAATAATATTATATGTATTTATATAAGATAAAAATAAAAATGTTTTATTGTTTTTTTAAAAAATCATCAAAAAAATGTTGAGCAATATAATTCTTCTTCTTATAACAAATTTATATTTTTTAATAAATTCTTCCAACAATAATTCTAAAAACTTATAAAGAAAATCTATCTATTTTTTTTTTTTTTAGTAAAAGACTTTGTTTTTCTAATTACTATATTTATATAATAGATTTTGTGGTTTTATACAAGTCAATTACTCATAAAGAAAGTACTTTTTTAAGTTTTAAAAAGGTTACACTTCCACTTTTATATAATTTTTGAATATATGATATTATATTTTCAAGTTCAGCTTTTGACTTATCTAATCTTAGATTTGCTTTAGTTCTATTTGAAATCTTTTTGCAATCTTTTTATAGTTAAACGTTTACTTTCATATTGTTGCATATTTTACTACAAGTAACTTTTCTCTAAATACATCACTATTTTCTTAATTTATTAGTTATTCTCATTTTATAATAGAAGGTTTATTTTGATAAACAACTATATTTTAAAAAAATAAAATAAGGAAGAAAAAAGTTAAAATGGTATTAAAATGTGAAAAATATAAAAATGGGGATTTTTAAATACATTCTATAATAAATCATTTTAGCAAAATTAAAATAATCTGTAATATGAAAAATTATTAAATTATTAAAATATTAAAATATATTTTTTAAAAAAGATATTTGAAAATTTTCGTTAATGTTAAAAGTCATTAGTATCCTCCTCCCTGGACCAAAGTATCCCCGTAGTGAATTTGTAAGTACCCGGGTACTTGAGTCAGCTGTTTACGGTAAACTTTTTTGTTGATATTTCAGAGATGTTACCAACTATAATGTCTCTGAAATAAAAAATTAATTCTTAAATTCTTTTATAATGTTAAAGCATTAGCAATATGTATTCAATATGACACTAATCCTGGAAAGATGATTCAATCAGCTTTAAAAAAATCCATAGTTATTAAAGACAAAATAATAATCAAATCTTAATCAGTGATTCGCAATCTTACACGGATCTTTTAATTTTTGAAAATTGCTATAAATTTTTTTGGTTATTAATAGAATACTTATAAAATCTGCGACAAATAATAAGCAAATGCACTGAATCGACATTTTATTTATTGAACTTCCTAATACGGGATTTTTTTTCCTAATTTAAGAAAATACAAAAAGAAAACTGCAATGCTGAAACGCCCCTAATTTGAGTCACATTTTATTTATTGATCGTTTTACGTTTCGCAGATTTATATTTAGTATCAATTCTATTAATAACCAGAAGGTAACTATTTGAGAAATTTTTTTTTTTCTTAATTTAATGTTAAGGGAAGTTGGACGTATTTTTCTCAAATTAGGAAAAAAAAGAAAAATCCCCAATATTTTACTTCTGGTTATTAATAGAAGTGATCAAATAATTTCCAATTTAAGAAAATACAAAAAGAAATCTGCAATGCTGAAACGCCCCTGAATGAATCCCCTGAATTTGAGTCACGTTTCGCAGATTTATATTTTAGTATCAATTCTATTAATAACCAGAAGGCAAATATTTGAGAAATTTTTTTTTTCCTTAATTTAAGGGAAGTTGGGTGTATTTTTCTTAAATTAGGAAAAAAAAAAATGAAAAATCCCAATATTTACCTTCTAGTTATTAATAGAATTGATACTAAAATAGCAAACAATACTAAAATGATTATAAATCTGCGAACCGTAAAACAATAATAAACAAAATGTCAGGGGCGTTTCAGCATTTGCGGTTAACTGGAACGGTATAAATAAATTGAATAATTTATTGACTTTCCTCAAATTTAGGCTCGACCATAAAAAATTTTATCAAATACCGAAACAAAACTTTCTTCGCTTTATTGACTTTATAAGTAATTCATGTACTATCTGCTAATAGCTTTAATTATAAAATTGTATTTAAAAAATAAGGTAATTAAAAAGCATTTTATTTTATTTTATTTTATTTTTTTTTGCATTACCAATTACGAATAAATGCTAATTCTCTTTCCATGGTTAATTCTTCCTCATTCACTTCCTCTATTCGTCATCCTCCTCTTTTGTTTCTTTTTCTTCTACTACCAACCCTCGATTCGAACATTAGAACTTTATCTTGGAAAATTCTAACTAACAATCGTAAAATACAAGTAACGATGTTACGAAATTATATGTTAGTAATATTATTAAAATTCCGAGAAATCTCTGCCACCTCAATTAGGCTTGGCAGAAAAATTGTTTTAATAGATTATCTGATCTTGCAAAACGATCACACGCACCGAACCCGAACAAGAAAAACGAGTGCGTGCGGGGATTCAAGTTGTAGGGGTCAATAGAAGGACATAAGAAATCTGTGCATCTACAGATTTTTTTAATAAATATTGTAAGTAATCAGAGCGTACGAAAATTCATAGTTATCAGTTTACATGATTACTTCCTTGAACTGTCGGATCGTTTATTGGGAATTTATAGTCTGAATAAAAAAACGTTCCTTTAATTACATACAATTAATTATTTAAATGACAAAACATTCGTTAATAAATTTATGGTCTTCGGAAAATAAAATAATATTTATCATACGTTCCACTATCTAAACCGTTCTTTTAAACGTGAGTTCAATCTCATTTCTAAATTTAGTAATCACATACCCCAAATTGACGATCGGTCTAAAATCATCGGATCAGAGGATTTTTTTTTTTTTTTTTTTTTAAAAAAACTGAAATCAAGTATCGTTTGATAACACTCATACTTAATTAACACTCTAAAAGTATAGAAAAAAAATTACTCTTGTATTTAGCTGTAAGGAAGTGTCGATCTGCATTTTTCTAGCCAAAATCGCGAACAAACAGATCGCTTCAAATTGTTTTTAATCGTTTTTATATATTTATGAAAGGTACATGTGAGATCATTTGTACAGAATGCAAAAGGTTTAATAAAATTTATTTTACTTAATGGAGTTTAGAAAAACCTTGAAATCTAAGACTATTACAACTATTAATCCACCACTCAAAACATGAGAGCTTCTATAAAGTTCTTGCTTTCCCTTCTCTTGTACCGAGCGATCTAAAACCTTGTGAAATTTTTCAGCCAAATTGATGTCCTATATTCAAACACCGACATAAATTTAAATTGATTTATGCCAAAAGAATGTCGCATGTTCCATCCCGATGTAAAAAGGAGCAACGATCACTTGATATTTCCCATAAAAGTATGCCAATATTAATTTGCTCCTCAATACTGCCTGTATTGGGTGGGCGCTTTGCTTTGCGGAATATCAACTGCAAAGCATTGAACACTTTGATAGGTTACAATCTGCCGCAGGCACGTTCTTGATGTCGACCATAACTTTATGATATAGTATAGTGATTCTTTGAAAAAAAAATAAAATAAAATAAAATTAAATTTGATTAGATATAAAATACCAAATATTTTCCGCAAGTAAAAGAAGTGAAAGTTGTTTTTGATTGTTACGAGAGTATATATCATAATTAGAATAGTACTTTAAATTCAAAAGTGAACAACGGACACAGAGAATTATACAAGCAAGTCAAGAGGAAGTACTCTTCTAGACTTTTGTGATGAATAATATCACAATTGTAAGTTCAAATATCAAGTAATTTAGTTACTATCGCTTTATATTAAATAACTTTCTCTTAAATAATTTTTTTTTTTTTTTTAGAATTTTTATAAATAAAATAACATTATGTTTATACTAAATTATAAAATATTAAATTACGGCGTTTTATATGTGATATAAATGAATAAATGATCGTCGGCAAAATGTGATAAAATTAAGCATGTCTATGCGCCAAATATCCCAAAAAATATCCTTTAATTGAAGCCTATTCTTACTCCAACGTGAAGCAGAAATTCGTTATATATAATGTTTTTCGCATACCTACGGTATGCGTCATCATATTATGATTTTAACAAATTTGCAATAAAATTAATAATTTAAGCCAATACGTACTCGAGTTAGATGTATTCCTCGGAACAACCTGAAGAATCCCAGCAAAGAGAAGTTAAAATTTTCCGCTATGATAACCGTTTATGATAAAGTAACCACCCTAAAATGAAGTAAAATTAGCATGGGGATATTTATGTTAATAAAAGATTAAATTCATTATACCTGAACATATGGACTTTAATGATGTTCTTTCAGTTCCTCAAAAGTCAAATCAGCTATGAGAAATTTAGAAAGTACCATAACAGAAATCTATTTTTTAAATAAGAAAATTTATATCATATATAAATTGTAATTATTAATTTTGAAACAAAGTTACCTTACCAAAAAAATACCGGTTCATCAACCACAGTCTTCACATATCCTTTTAAATCATTTTCATTGTAATCGATTTCATAATAACTGTTTATGATTAGCTTTGATATAAAAAGTTTCATACCCTATACAAGAAAACGAAAAAAATTGATGAGTCGCGATATAATTACGTTAAACCCCTTAAGCGAGCTTCATTAGGGAACAATTGCTTTTTAATACTCTCATACTCGGAAAATTGAGGTTTAGTAAATGATGGTTTATCAAACTCGAAACTGTATTGAGTCTAATTTTTATATTATTTTATTTTTTAAAAAAAAAAAATGTATATAATGTATTCCATATAAAAACAACAAAAATAGTACAGAAAACAAACCATTATTTCCTTGCCCATCTTCAAAGCAGAATATCTAATCGCTTGCATTGGGGTTTCGTTTATAACTTCATATAGACCACGCTCAATAAAGTCATCAAAAGAATCCAACTGTTGTCGTACAATTCCTTTATTTTTGAAATATGATGATACAACTTTCCAGCACTCTCTTGTGTAAGATCCGCTTCATCATCATCCTCTTCAAATGCAAGGCGTATTCTGTTACCAGAGATTCTATAATGAAAAGATTAAATTAGTGATTTTGATTTTGAATAAAATGCAATCACATACCATCTGTTTAATAGCCCAAAAGAGCTTCTGAACGTGTATCATCATACGTTCACAAACGTTTGTGAATCATTATTCACAGAAGAATTTTCAAATGTGTATTCGCTATAATCCATATTTGTATTTAGAATGATGTTGAATTAAAAATAAAGAAGAAAAATTGTCGATGAACCAAGCATCGGATTTAACGTGATAAAAACTCGTCATCAAGCCAAGCATATTACGTTTAAGATCAGCTAAGCATATTACGTCAGTCTCATTTTATCCTTACGAGTTTTTTGCGATATCATTACGAACAATGATTGTTGATCACATTTGATATAACCTAATTTTCCTAATAATGTGTTAACTATAATTTGCGTCAGATGCCGACTGGCCTAAATTATGGGCCTATTTTGGGCCGATCTTATAATGCCTTAAGAAGGTTTGGCCAGCATTAGTCATCTGACGTACCATTGTACCTAAGGAACGATAAATGCATACCTAATGAACGATAAAACTATTGTAGCATGTCAACTGCCAGTTGACTCAAATCGACATCTGACGCACAACGTATATATATACCGAACCGATCGAGAATTGTTCCTATTTAAGCAAAGCGAAGACTTTGATTTCCTTCTCCTATAGTTCGTTCGTTCTTGTCATTTTAGTGTAAAATTGAAAGTAAATCAAGGAGATATCGCTTGTCATATTTATTGTTCTAAATTATTCTAAAATTAAAATTTTTGTTACCTCGTGTCGTTGCAATACGTAAAAAAAAAGTGGAGAAAGTCCATTATAATAAATCAAAAAAAAATAATAATAAATATTTTTAGAAAGGAGACTCATGTTGAAATTCCAGTAAGAAACAAAGAACCTTTACGTAAAGCGAAGACAGTTCGTTTCATAAATGTAAGAATCAATGTTGGAATCGAACCAACCAGAAAAACCAGAAATACTAGAAATTCTGTTTCATAATTGATTGGGTAAAATACTGAACGAGACGCCCTGCTTTTCATTCATAGTAAGAAAAACTCGAAGGAAATGAAGACTCCTCTATCCTTTTTCGGACTGTACAAAAGAGAAGGATTAACTCTTTATAAGGAAAGTTTCAGACTCGGAGAGGCTCGGTGTCTTTATATACAACGTCATCACCCTTCCTCCGGCTTATGCTCGATTATATTAGCATTTTGAAAATAATATCTATCCCAAGGAAGAAGGTGCAAAGGTTTTTACCATAAAAATGGCGAAATATAACTAACTTAACGAAGAACCAGCAAAACTTCGCAAAGAGTAAAGGAGGTCAATGTAAACAAAAACGAGAGTATATATACTTAATCAGGCTGTCACATGGGCGATGTCATCAAAATCACCAAAAAATGTGATCATATGACTATTTCTGATATCTTATCAGTTATTAAATTTCTATACAACGCGAAGACGCGACAAGTTTATATGAAATCACAATATTCTACACTGAAACTCCGAACTTTAATTTGAAAAAATAATTGCTCATTTTATTGACAAAACTATTTAATGATAACAAATAAATTAATCATATTTGAGAGGTCTAAGATATCTCGGTTTAATGAGTCACGTGACTAGACGACACTTTGAGCGATTTCCTACGATTTATAATTTCGTTTGTAATTCGTATATTATATCGAAACCTGTATAATATATTCATACCACTATGCATCTTACATGTTCTTTAGATCGTTCTGAAAATCCATTCATTTATATACAGTAGACGAGTTTTCATGATTTACGATGAAGTTTCATCAAGTGATCGGTTACATGTGAATTGTTAAAAAAATTCCGTTTGGTCAATTTGTAGGCACCTGACCTAGGCGAAATAAACATAAAATTTCGCCTTTTTTATAATAAAGTTTTACTACGCAGTCGCTCTAGTACAGCGAATCTTTAAAATTACACGGCTAGAACGAATCTAACATTTTGTAAAATGGTAGACAAAATTCATTATACAACATGAAGCCGAATTTCGTAAAGATTGTGCTAAAAAAAATTGATAAAAAAGGTCGTTATACTTTCCTAATACTATTATTAGTTGAGACTTTCTCCTTTGCGACAGACATAACTAGATTCCTACCATACCTTGCATATGTCAATTTCTTTTTCTTTGTAGTTAATATAAATGTACAACCTGCTTGCAAATTGAAGCCGGAAGTTTTATCGGTTAAAAATCTAGAATTTTTGGTTTTATCTTAAAAATATGTAACAAGATGATAATGTTGCATGGGCGTCAGCTTCGATCATCTCCATATTAGTATATCATATAAAATAAAAAATAAAATAAAAGAACATACAGTTTTTAATATATACCAAAAGGGAAAGTAATGAAAGGAAATCAAAATAGGATTTATTATTATTATTAATCATTTATTTATATTTTATTTATTTTAACCACGATTCAAAATTCTTCAAGATAAGAGATAAGCAGAATGATGTACACTTCAATAATGCTTGATTTTTATAGATACAAGTGAAAGAGATAAAAAAAAAAATTCTCACAAACTAAATGAGTGACTAAAAAAGGTGATCCTACAAAGCAAATTAACCGTAATTAGAAATTATTTTCTAAACACATATCAAAGGCTCAATTTCTTTTTAAAAAAAATTCTAAACGAATAAAAGAATGGACCAACCATCTAAACATCTAGCCGTAATATGAACAATTGAAACGTAATCATATATCGTACTCGGTTGGTTCACCCCATCTCTAGCCAATAATAAATTTTCCGACAAAAACGTGAGAAAATTTAAAGTGCCAACATAATACTTTAAATAGAGACCAACAAAGTGATCATTAAACGAGATTATTCGGAAAAACGACTCATGAATATTAAGAGATGTGTTACAGAATAACATTGGGTAGTCATCTTTTTTAGAATAATGAAAACCATCACCGGTTCTAATTGTTTACAAAGAGAAGTACCAAATATATCATTTATAATAAGAAAAGTTTAACCTAAAACGTAAGTTTTGAAAGTAAAATGCAAAGTTTTTTTTCTCATGTAGCAAAACTCCTTATCACAGAATGAAACAGGAGTTCCCTTCCCTTTGTTTGAAGAATTTTTTTTTTTTTTAGAAATGAATGAATGAAGTTTCTCATACAGTTTCATTTATTGGTTCATTAACGGTGTATGACG